GAAGACAGAGATGAGACAGAGAGACAGAGGAAGAGACACAGAGAGAAGACAGAGAGAGAGAGAGACAGGAGGGAGAGAGAGAGAGAGACAGAAAGAACAGGAGAGAGACATGAGAGAGGACAGAGAGAGAGAGAGAGATACAGAGAAGAGAGACAGAGATGAGAGGAGAGAGAGACAGAGAGAGAGAGACAGAGAGAGAGTAGAAGGAAACCCCGACTCCTCCTCGTATCAGGGGAGTGATGGAGGATAAGAACTTTAACTCTTCTCTTGTTGTTGGTTGTTGATGTATGAATTGAATGGTCTAACTGTATAAAGCCGTTGGTGTTCAGATGTGTTCTGTCTGCCTGTTAAATGATCCGCAGCAGAAACATCTGACCGTGTCTGTAGACCGAAGGAGCTGAAGGGAGGTGCAGACTCTGTTGGATATTACGGAGTCTTCGCTGTAACGCGGAGAAAAAGCTTATTGCCTCAGAGGAAGAAAATCCTCTCCTGAATGACGCAGCAGCCACATCAACACCAGGAACAGAGGCGAGACCAGGCGTATGAGGGAGAGTCAGGATTCAGTATCAGAACAATAGCCTGGTTTCAGACGTCGGGGGAGTTAGGAAATGTTAGAATCAGCTCGTCTGCTGTCGGAGACAAACAACAACAAAGACTTTATAAAGAACGTTGAATCGGTGTTAAACTCAATTTATCTAATAAAATGGTATTTAACTGCTTAGAGCTGAAACTATCAACTGAAAATAAATATAAAAACCTTCTTCTGGTTTTTGTTACTGTAAATTTGAATCTGTTTCCGCTTGTGAACAAAACAAGCTGTCTTTTTCTGACACTTTACACACCGAATCACATAACTGATTAATGGATAATCCATAACTGATTAATGATTAATCCCCCCCCCAAAATAACTGATTAATGATTAATCAATAACTGATTTAATGGATTAATCGGATAATTAGCTTACGTAAGTCGGCATCTTCCCAGTGTGTCGAGTGAGGAGTTTTGTTCTTGTGTTTGCACCAACAGTTGGTTTTATTCACAGCTTTGGGAAAAATCAAGCTTGGCACTGCACGTTCCCCGTGACCACACACAGCGACACACACACAACACACACCACACACACACAACACACACACCACACACACACACCACACACCACACACACACAGTAACAGAGAAGAGGATTCTGGATAGTGGCCTGGTTGTAACGCCCAGTTGTAATGAGTGC